GTTTCCCTTTGGAGGAACAGAGCTAGTGGATGAAGATGACTTTGCTAAGGGTAAGATATCTCCACAGACAGTTAATTTTTTTTCTTGTTGTTAATTGCTAGGAAAATAATCCATCTTACCCCAGGGAAGCCATTCAAATGACTCAGACCTCTCTGCGGATTTCAAAGAAAGCTTTCAGTATCTATTTTCTAATTTTCCCAAACAGTCCCTGCAGGTTGAGGGATCACGGTGAAGAGAATTCCACCAAATTTGCTTCGAGGCTGCTGGATAAATGTAGTACAGAGGTAATCGGCTCACCTCATCACAGCTGCCAGCTTCAGCCTCCCCTACAACTCAATCACTGGCACACGGCTAACCAAATTACTGCTCCGGGCTCTGGGCCTCCCTGTTATGTGACTCAGGAGCCTCATTTGCAATCACTATTAACCAGAAAAGCCGCACGACTGCTCTGAGCCCACAGAGTGGAGTGTCATACAATATTCACAGAAACCCATGGGCCGGAAGAGGCTGCAAAGCCTCTTCCGTTATTCCGGCTGCAAAGCCTTTAGAATAACGCTCGCACAGTGACCCCCACCAGCTTGGGGTCCCCTTCCTTACCCTTTCTCCAGCCCCTATGGCAAAGTGACTCCAGACTGGACAGAGAAAGAAGACTGTGAAATGCCCAGAGCTCTGGGAATGGGACCATCAGAGGTGACTGTGTGGAGAGGAACTGAGTAACCCACATACCAGCTATTAAACAATCTCGTAGGAAGCCTTTAACTGCTTTAAAGTAGGTATTCATGCAGAACACTCCAAAGGCCACCTCTAAATCTCTAAAGACAATGCTCAGGTCTTTACCTCTCATTCAGTCGCCTGCTGTGCTGCGTGAAACAGAGTTAGCAAAGCCCGGTGCAGCACGGGATTTCCAAAGATTATCCCATAAATGGCAAAGGCGGGCACACATCTCACATCTCTCCTTTCCTGGTCCTGCCTCCTCCTCTTCCTTACAGCTCCCACCCTCCCCACTGCCACTCAATACACATTTATCCACACAGGTTGGTCTTAGATTTCATGCACGTGGATGCATCAACAAATGGTACTGAAGTGCCCTAGCTTTAGATTTCATATCTGTCAGGCACTTAAAGCCACGATTGTCCCATATGCCCCTCCCATTCCATGTGTTCGTGTGTGTGTGTGTGTGTGTGTGTGTGCACGTGTGTGTTTCTGTTGTAACCCAAGGTTAATGGGGTTGTCTGGGGTGGTGCAGGCACGGTGTGGAGGTATCAGAGAGGGCCTCATGGAACTTTGCCAGAAAGCATTTTGCTATTCTTCTTTCAGAAACTTGTTTATCAAAGGCTGTGGTTAAGAGGAGGAAGCCACTCAGCCAGCCTCAGCCTAGCTACTGCCTGCTTGGGAAGTGCTCATGACGGACGCCAGAAGGGCTCTGGCTAGCACTACAGAGCCTTCTCTGGAAAAACCTGGGCACAGGGACTGACCGATCCTCCCCTCAAAGGGCACCTCTGCAGATGGTGCAAAACAAGGCAGGGCCGCCCAGGGCAGGGCACTGTAGAAGCAGCTAGTGCCAGTGGGAGTGGAGCCAGGAGAGAAAGGCTTTCTTCGTTTAGAAACAAGCAAAGGACAGGAGGGAGAGAGGAGTGCTGAATCAGGACCCGGAGCAGGCGTCCTCATGAGCGCCAGCCTGAAGCCTGCTCGCCACATTTCAATAACCACTGTGAATGAGGAAGCAGAGGGCAGCCGGCCAAGAGAGCTGGCTCCTTGACGGTCACTTTTCACAGGGTGGAAAGAAGTGTGGGCACCGTTTGGAACCCTAATCTGTGCAAGTGGTCCTCAGAGACAGAGACAGAGACAGAGACTGAGGGAAAAGGTCTTGTTTGCACTCCACTGCCTGGCACTCACTGAAAGCTGAGGTCTCTTATGTTCAAGGCGGGCTACTCTAGATGTCCCTTTTAATTAGGGTGAGCTTCAGGGGTGTAATGGCTTTAACCAGAGGATCTGATGTCCCCAGGAAGGCTCTGCCTTCCATTTAGAAGGAAAGGCATCAGCTTGCTTGAAGGAATCCCAGGTTACTGAGTAATCACCATAATAAGATTGAGAATGAAGGTGACCTATAGAAGCATGGCAAATACACAATTTTCTTTGCTTTGTAAGTGAATTTTGATTATAACTCAGCACTTGCCTCAGGTTCTAAAATGCTGTTGGTTCGAATTCTCAGGAAAGCCCAGGAAAGGATAAAACACATAAATGCTTCCACAAAGAAAAACACAAGCTTCCCAGCCCTCTTTGTAGCTACATGCAACCCAGAAAATTGAAAGCAAGGTTGTAGTCTCTCCGTCCTTGGTCACCATTTCATGTACTGGCCTGTCATACAAAGTGTGGGGAAGCACGGCAGATCAATAGCTATTCTGGGTTAATATTGCCACAGAATTTTTTTTTCCTCTAAAAAGAGAAGGACATTCCTCCTCATTACATAGATCACAGCTTATTACATCCAAGGCATATTTCTGTGGTCTGTTTATGGAAATTAGTGTTTAGAAAGAGATTTTTTCTGAGGTTACATGTGCTTTTTAATATAAGCAGTGGGGCAGTGACGCTCCTATAGAGTTAGTCCTTTTAAAGCTCTGCAAATGACTATTAGCCCTTAGGTTTGAGAAGGGGGTACAACTTACCTGATGGGGCACCTGCACCCTCCAGGTCTCTCCCTACCTGGAGCCCTCTCCAAATCCTGTGTGCCTCATTCCACATCCTGGGGACATTAGCAGCACTCAACTTGCTTTATCTGGGGTGATGTTTCTCTGAGCAAAAATCCCTAAGTGTTTTTTTATGGGAAATGAAAAGCCAGATAAGCGTGTAAGTGAAAAAGTGAGCCCTGGCCTCTCAAAGCATGTCATCCATTTTTATGTTACTGATTATATGATTTCTAAATTGCCTGAATGTGTTAAGCGACAACTTTTGAATTTGCTATTGGAACTCTACAAATTATATATACAATAACATACATTATTTTTAGGGGAGAGTTATGAAACACCTCTGATACCTCTCTTCAGTCTCAAAAACTGAGGCGGAGAAAGGGCAGATGTTCATAAGCCCATTTAACAGGTGAGGAAGGGAAGGCTCAAAGAGGTGCAGGAGGGGTTCAATTTCACACAGCTGGCCAGAGCTGACTCAAGGCCTCCAACCCTAACTCTGAACTCCTGGGTCAGGGTGGCAAGATGATTTGTCAATATCCAGGCAGACATCATTGAGAAATACACACAAGTGGTTTCCTCTGGCTCCACACAGAGACCTTAACACCTGGCTATTCTTCATCAGCTGCAGTCAATGAACCATATAAATTCAAACTTCAGAAATGCTAAAGTCTCATAAGCAATTTTTAAAGGTATTAAAATACAAAACAGAAGTAAACAAAATTTCTTGCCCCAGGGAACTAACTAATGCAAAGTGACAAAATAATGGAAGTTTGAATGCGGTCTCAAAAGTGGCCATAAAATGGAATTCAGAATTATGTTTTAATGTGTATGCTATCTACTTGCTTTGCCAAGGGTGACTGGTGTGAATTCTTATTTATAAAACTAAATTATACAAGAAGAAGAGAAATAGTGGAATGAGAGAAAACAGCTCGCAAGCAAGAGCAGGTGTGAACAGTTGCATGCGATGGTATTGGTCACAGCTGGGGTACCAGAGAGAGTCAGATCCTAGGTCAGGTGCACCATAGGGGTCCCAGGACAGTCCATCGCTCCTCCACCAGGACTGGCCTTGGCATGTAGCCCCAGCAGCTCCAGGCAGCTGTCTTTCCGCGGAACTTCTAGGAGTGGGGGTACCCATCAGCGCTGACCTGCGGCGCCCCAGCTGAGGATAGTCTGACCGTGGGAGTTTATAAAGTAATGGACAACAGGCAGTGCCCTTCCTCCCCAACAGCAGTGGTCAGAGGGACAGATCTATCCTCACAGAGACTGTCGGGCACGGGCGCTGCAGACATGGCCCCTCCTCCCGGCACTCAGTCCTGTCTGCCTTACACAGGAGGACAGGAAAGGAACTTCCAACGAGTCCACCTTTTATGTTAGGAGAGAGGCAAGGTGCTGAGTTTCCCATCCGGGGAGTTCAGCTTCACCGTCTCCCCAGCCCCCACTCCGCTGACTTCCCCTCCTCCCTACCACTAGCCAGTGGCCCAGCGTTCCTTTCCCGGCCAGTCTTGGCTGTGATGTTTAGCGGCTCTGCCGGACCCCATATTTTGTCTGGTCTCTAAAAGGGCACTGACCTGAGGGTGCAGATGCAGAGGCCGCGGGGCAGCTAGGCAGCCACGAGCAACCCAGCACCCAGCTGCCTAGGGAGCTCCAGGCAGCCGCGGCAGCAGCTCGGAGCTGGTTACATTATTACACAATCCAGGCAAATCCTGCTCCAGTACAAGGAGCGCATCTAACCAGCAGGAAGGAAATAAGCCAAAATCCTCCCGACACCACACACATACACACGAGTCTGAGGACAAGGACAAACACTTTGCAGAAGGAACCCTCCCCCAACCCCACCAACCTCCAGGTCCCTGTTTCAGGATTCCTCACCCCGCAGTAGCGTCTAAAATCCTCGTGTTTGACCACCTCTCCCAACACATGGGACAGAGAGCAATTTGGCTAACTTCAAATCCTGTCTCCCGAGCACTTGCCCACAAATATTAGGGGGAGCGATAGGGACGCCCCCCTGTTCCCGCCACCACCCTCACTTCTGCCCCCCACGCCACTCTCTGGTTGACAGCGTCGGGGAAAGACACTAGACCATCAATCCAATTTTTCCTGCCAGTTGGGGAAACAACACTCGGTCACTAACAGCACCCAGCCACCTAGAGAGCGAGAGTGAGCCGAGGCAAACACGCCGGCTTCCAGACACAGTTCCAGCCCCCGCGACCCGGCTTTGCAAAGGGCTGCACGCGCTCGCCGGAGGGTCGCTGCCGCCTCCGAGAAACGACTTGAACCTGAGCCCGGTGAAGATAAAATGACACAGAGACTCACCTTTAGGTTGTGAGTGGGGTTGACGACACAGACAAGTTGCCCGGCAGCGGAGAAAACCCGTTTAGCTTTGTAGTGCTGAAATCGGAGATGAATGAGATCTAACACAGCCCCAAAGCACTGGGTAAAGAAAAGCATCACAACTTTTGGGGGGTTGTTGGCCCGGGAAGGCAGCGGAGGAAGCTGTGAGTCCTTGGGCTCTGGAAGGAGCGCAGCCTCTGAGACACTCCGCGCCAGCCCGGCTTAGCGCGCCTTCATATTCATCATCAAAATAAGACGGTTAGAATCTTGCAGCAGTGAGGCGGCCAATCAAAAGGACAGAAATGTTATCCTTGAGGTGCAGAGACAGCCAATAACAAATGCCTTCCCTACCGAAACTCCCTGATGAATTGAGCCTGGCGGAGAATGTATTATTGAACATTACCATAGATCAGCACATTGCATTTATCTTGTGATTACAGCCAACCATACCTAATGCTGGGGAGATAGGCTGACAAAATTGATTGCTTAATGTGTCTCCATTTATTAATTGACTTAATTTAACATGAGAGCCTTTCTTAATGCCCTGGCAAGAACGTAAAGCGTTTAAGCCGCCAAATAGTACAACACCCCGCTCCAAAGTAGGCAGATGGATAACGCAGATCGTGGCTCGACTCACCAGAGCTGCTTGGGAGAAAATAAAATATTACTAGACTCTGATTCCAGATAAGGACTTGGCAGCAGCAAAAATGTGTATCTTTCAATCTTGCGTTCTGACTTTCTGCAATTTGGATTACAGCCCCTTGATAAATCTTACTCTCCACTCTTTATCAAAGAAAAGAATCCCTGACAAATGCATTTGGAGTTGAGGGGTGGAAGGAAGTGTATATATATATATACACACACACACACATATATATATATTCTTTTTTCAAAATACTGTGATCACTGAAGTCTGAAAGTATTAAAGGATAAAAATGCACAGACTATGCTTCAAAAAATAATGAAATCCCTGATGCATGAATGCACACACACAGAAAAACCTACACTGAGAGGAAAGAGGCTTGTAAATCAGCAAAATAATTACAGATGCAGAGAACCTTTGCTTGTCATTCATTTGCATATTGGTGGGCAGCAAATTGCTAATTAACCACTAGATTGTTGGAGACATTAAAAGAGAGATTAAGGATGCACACACCACATCATTTACTTGTTTCTGCAAATGCTAGCAGCACATTTCTGTGCTGGCACAGGGAGAGGGGATTCCAGTCCTCAGACTGCAAACCTGTCCTTGCTCCCCAGAACAGGGCTGGTGGGGGGACGGGAGGCCGCTGGTTCTTCAAGAAAGATTCCTAAGCAGTACTTGAAGGGCTTTGGGTTTTTCGGGACTAGCTCTGATGGTTTAGTCTTTGCAGCTGAAGCAGGGGAGTTGAGTGTATTGTGTTTTCCCTCTTCACTGGCTGTTTCTCTGTTGAGAAGTCAGGCCACATCCAGCGCTGCCTGGAGCAGGATCAGCCCCCACTGTGAATTGTACCCTGTGAGTGTGAGCCCATTGCCCCCTCCCGCATGGTTCTTGTTCTGCTCTGGCTACAATGCTTGGGTTGTATTGTATGCAAAACATATGCACATGTGGAACACCTAGGTCTGTGACTTGGTCAGGCAATTAAACTAACAACAGAATAATATACAGGATAAAAATAATGCACAAGTTTCTTGATGCCAGGACAGAGCCCAGGTTGTTCATTTTAACTTGCATTTAACTTAAAACCAAACCAATGTTTTAAGAGACAAACTGAACACCAATTAAAAATGGAAACTTTGCACTTTTAAAATAACTACACTGGCACCAAACTAGAAGATGACAACATTTGAACTGATTAGAACCTCATCAATGTGATATTTTTATAGGACATGAGTCCCTGGAGCCACCTGTTACATGGCACCTAATAAGGGCTGCTGATCCACAAAACCAGAACCTGCTTTCTAAAGTTTGAATTGTCCAGAAAATAAGCTTTCAGCAGTTCACTGGGAAAACATTTAATATCCTTTCATTGGCTTACTTGTTTTAAAAACTAAAAGTGTGCAGGTACTCTTATAGATTCGTTAAATATATATTCATAATTCAGAAAGGTTCAAATTATTTTTACATCTTTGGCTGTAGTGGAACAATTGTGTTGATTTTTTGTTTTGTTTTTCTTCACTTTTTAAAAATGTATTGTTTCTGTCATCCATCCTGCTAGAAGTAAGTTCCATGAGAATGGGAATTTCTGATTTTTTTTTTAAAGGTATTTTTAAAAATATAATCTTCTTCGTATTTCTTTTTTTTATTATTATTATACTTTAAGTTCTAGGGTACATGTGCACAACATGCAGGTTTGTTACATATGTATACATGTGCCATGTTGGTGTGCTGCATCCATTAACTCGTCATTTACATTAGGTATATCTCCTAATGCTATTTCTCTCCCCTCCCTCCACCCCATGACAGGCCCTGGTGTGTGATGTTCCCCTTCCTGTGTCCAAGTGTTCTCATTGTTCAATTTCCACCTATGAGTGAGAACATGTGGTGTTTGGTTTTCTGTCCCTGCAATAGTTTGCTCAGAAGGATTTTCAGCTTCATCCCTGTCCCTACAAAGGACATGAACTCATCCTTTTTTATGGCTGCATAGTATTCCATGGTGTATATGTGTCACATTTTCTTAATCCAGTCTATCACTGATGGACATTTGGGTTGGTTCCAAGTCTTTGCTATTTTGAATAGTGCTGCAATAAACATACATGTGCATGTGTCTTTATAGCAGCATGATTTATAATCTTTTGGGTATATACCCAGTAATGGGATGGCTGGGTCAAATGGTATTTCTAGTTCTAGATCCTT